TACCCCACCACACACACACACACACACACACCACACATGGGCCTTTTTAAATATAATTATGTATATCGTATATAATAATATTATATATATTTACGTGTATATATGACATGGAAATAGTAAGTATAAGCGTCAAATAAAGTATGATATGATAATATTTTATTTGATGCTTATATTTATTGTCTAATTATTAACTTAGCCTACGAAGTACATTACCTATTTGATTGAACATCAAGGAGAAGGTTCGTTACTGTCAGTTTTAACAGCCAAGGGTTGGTGTACCTCACTCCGAGCTGAAAGCCTCGATGACTTCAACGGTTACGGTTCTTTCAATATTCATGTTGATCTAACTCTGGAAGGTTCACTGAATGTTTTAGATATTGTTCAATTGATATTTCAATATATCAATATTCTCAAGTTACATGGCCCAGTCGAATGGATCTACAATGTAATTAATAAAATAATATAATTATATATAGAATATCTGGCAAATTGTAGTACAATAATTTATTGAACTTATCTATAGTTTAATATTATATATTACATACAAAGCAATACGATTTTACATTTACAGGAATATAGAGACATCGCATATACAAATTTTCGTTTTAAGGAAATCGATAATCTTCTATCCTACGTGCGTAATTTAGCTCAATCGCTGCAAATATGTCACATGAAAGATGTTTTGTGGGCAGGACATATTTTCACTGAGTGGCGACCAAATTTGATTACACAAATAATGAATAATTTGACACTGGAAAAGGTCAGAATTCACCTTGTCGCAATAGAATATGATACAACTGCAACAGAAAGATGGTACGGCACTCTCTTTGATAAAACCGAGATAACCGAAGAACTATTGGACATAAGCAACAACGCTAGTTATAACTCAGACTTGAAATTCCCTTCCAAGAAGAATGAATTTATAACGACCAAATTTGATATCAAACCTGAAACTGATGTAATTAAAATTATTGTGTTCTACAATATTAATTCTTGAATACTACTTGGCAATATTTAAAATAAAATCTTTTAAAGCATAAACGACATTATTAACAATACTTCATAGAATTAAATATTAATATATATTTAAAAGTAATTTGACATGATTTAACATGAATTGATTTGACATGTATATAAAATCAAATATATATATATATATATATATATT